GAAGTTAAACACGTCAGTGCCATCAGAAGTACATGTGTATGCGATAGTGCTCCGTCATTGCTTTGTTTACTCTGAAAATAAAAATATTGTTAGTTTAGTTAATATAGTTAACATAGTTAGTTTAGTTTTTTGGCGAAACAATTCATTGTACATTTAGTGTACAATTTAAGATGTAATAGAGTAGCGTAAAGGCAAATGAAAAATAATTAATTAATGTTGCAAATAGAATCTAAGCGCTCTTTTAAATAATAAAATAATATGAGAGTTATGCGTGACAAATAATTATGTCGAGAACAATCTCGTTTTAATGTTACGTGGATTTTAATTCGCAAAACGTACGTCTGCTTTGAGAATAGAGAAGAGAGGATGCATGTTTGAAATATCAATAAATTAAATATCGTCTACGTATTCAAATGCAGAGTGCGGGACGTGTCAGTAGCAAAAAGCGTTAATTGCGAGTGACAGTTTCGCAAGATGGTAAGGTAGGTATTCGAACACAAACTCCCGAAGGAAACAGTTTAAAATCTCCTATGTGATCTTTTAGGTCATTGGTGTGAACAACGAACGGTTACAGCTTGACGTACGTCGGTAAAGTAGATTGCGTTGTATTTAACGCATATTTTGATTTTTAGAGTGACTTTCGCCAAATTCCGATAATTTAATCGACGATTTAAAATTGCTCTCAGTTAAATATTATCTGTTCTATCTTTGCTAACACAAATAGAAATTATTAACATTTTGATTATTCTTGGCGACAAATTATAGAAATGAAAATTGGTGTTGACAATTCTTATTATTATTTATCCATTAGTTTAATCTAAGTTTGGTGAAAGTCACCTTTAATATATCGCTTATGATTATGTGTTTTCCAAGAAAGCTCTCGAGTAACCTTTAAAGTGCCTATTTAACAGTATTAATTTAATCAAATGAAAAACAGAAGATAAATAAGAGCTAAACGGTAATCTCGGAGCTGTACAATATTTAGTGAAAAGGAAAGAGTGTTTACATTAGTATATATTAATATATTTTCTTTAACGAATATTAATTTAACAATGTAGAGAAAGACGTTTGTGACATATTTTTCTCCATAAGTTTTGCAATGCATCTCGTGTCCAATAGGATAAGGAATCTCCCGAGAGTTATTAAGAAACAAATTCTCTTATTAGACGTGGGATGCGCTCTGAAGCTCATAGAAAAAAAAGTGTTGCAACCGTTCTATGACTGACTGTACATTATATGACGCTTGTAGAATAGACTACATTAAAGCTATATTTTAGTTGTACATGTTTTACATATAACGAAAGGCGATTGAAAATCTGTGAAATAAATGGACTGTTAAATAAAAAATGAAAAACTTACCTGATAAAAGTAGCGAGACACAGAAAATCTAAAATTGGACATAATCTTGTATTAGCCTGCCATTTTGGATAAGTTAGATCAGGGATTCAGCAGCTAATAATTCTATTGCTATCCGCTATGCTGTAACACTTAATAGGCTAGAAATCATAATATTCCATATTATCCAACTATTTCATTACCCGCATTTAGCACGTATAAATTATTAGCAAAGTCGAGATCGCGTGATATGTGCATCTCTCAAAAGCTATATTATTCCGCGAATACGGTTTCAACGAAAACATTACAATGTTTACAGGACTTGAGAATCTCAGTAATTACGGAAATAAAGCAATGTGAAATAATACATAACTCTGATTTCGGGATGAGTCGGAGCGGATTTTGCAATCTGAATATCGTCACTAGTAATTCGCCAAAAATGGAACGACACACTTTGACGCGAATTTCTTTTGAAACAAAATTTAATGCTTACTTGTTGTAACATTCTTCTTATCTACTATCACGATTAATTCTATTAATAAGGTGCAACAAGTAGCTTCCTATCCGGTGCTGCAGGAATATCTGATTGTAGGAAGATAAATGATTTCTATGTAAAAAATAAAAAAAAGAAAAGAAAAGAAACACCCCCGTCTATAATTAAAATCACTCGATTTGTGGACACTGGTCCTTTTATGCATATGCTTGTCTATTTGCACAGCATCGCGCGCTATCTCCCCCGGGACCTCGCGGTTCCCCTTCGGCTTACAAGCAAATAGGATCGAGTTTCTATGTTGAGCGTTTCATGATTGATTATCTGAATACATGATATCGTAATGGACCTATAATGATTAGAGATGACATAGATATACGGTGCACGTTGAGTGATGCATCGACGCAAGATTTTAAGTGTGAAAAACGCAAAAGACGCGCTTGACGTTGAAAGGGTTGATCCATTTAGTCACGGAAGATTAATAGAATCCGAATTCTGTGCGCTCCGACGCGAAAGTGTTAGTTGTGGGATTCACCGACGGACTTAATTATTCTTGTATATTTCTACGTTAAAAGTTTACCAGCCTCTCTCTCTCTTTTGCTATTTTAATAATACGCAGAATTCCTCTTTCAAGAAAAACGATATGTTGACGCGCGTTTGAAGTGTGTAAAGCATGAGAGACACGCGCTCGACGTTGAAAGGGTTAATCCATCTAGTCCTTGAAAATTAATAGAATCTTATTTCTACGCTTTGACATGAGAGTTATGGGTAAAAACGATTTAATAGACTATCCTATATCCTAGGTGTATCGCTGGTTTTTAAACGTGTATTGTTTCAATTGCTGAAATACATTTCCGAACATCAATATATCTTTAAATAAATTTCCTAAAGTCATTATCGATAGTCATGAATACACGAAAAAAATAATATGAATTCAAAAGAATCATATTATCATATATAAAAAAGAATATACACAAAGAAAAAGGTTTCTTTAGATTTAGTATTTCTATTTATTTGACTGAAATTCGTTTCAGTGAAACAACATATACGAAATATTACTCGGTTAGTATAGCATTTTTAAGTAGGTCCAAGTGTTTGACCAAATATAAGATAAACCTGTAATATATACATGTATCTTCATACAAGATTATCTTTATATAAGATATATTCTTGCTTATATATATATGAGAATATGAGTTTTGAATTAATATTAATTTTTTTCTGTATATATTTCTAAAGCGTCGCTCTCAAATGTATTCGTAATTCTTTGTTTACCTTCACGACCAATTTAAAGTGGCAATTCATTGGAACGAGAGGGCCAACTTCACACACGCGTGTCCTACTTTCGTTTCTGATAACGCGTAGATTTTTTATTCTCCGGACAGAAGGATATGTCGATCTCGCGATGACACGACATCGATCGTACTGATCGATCTCTGACAAATCGAGGCTCAATGCGAGTCTTAGGTAAGCAGGACGCGGCCACGTGAGCCTTATAAAATTAACAGTGACATTTTTATCAGCTTGTTCCCATGACCCTTTATGGCACCAGTAGCACCATGAACACGATTACACTGATGTAGATCGTCTATGTGGGCAGCACTTGACTGCCAGATGACCCGTCGTGTTCGCGATAACCTAAAAGGCGCCCGTGGCTTCGCTCAAGCTGTCAGAACTCACCTATTTATAAATACTATTTCGCCATATTTCTGTATGAGAGACCGCGAATTTGCGACGGGTATCCGAGTTGGATTCGATTTCATTTCGATGGAGATATCGATATCGATCGGAAATTCGCGCGAAGACATTTTCCGGTGAAGGAGAGAATGCGCAGCGCTGTAAGCAACATGCACGTGTCCGATTGATTAACGATTTTAGCTCTTGTAAAAATTGATTTATTCCATATCATAGATTAATCTTACGTGCGCAAAACACGTGTGTAATACGGAGGGCGAGGAAGAGGGGGCGATTCGTGTCCGGCGCGAGTCAGAGCGATTCTAAGGCAAATGCGTACGTAAAAGAATCACGACATTCATGCTCGATATATGTTTAATAGAAAACCGAACGTCCTTCATCGACAGTTTTACCCAACACGCGCTTCGGCCCTCACTCGGCGAAGTAGCGTCTCGAGGAAATCAATTTATTGCACAACTAGCGTCTACACTTGAAAAGTCGGGAAGAAAAAAACTTTTCGGGACGTATAACGAGGCGGAAAACGCTCGATGTTTCCGCAAAGACCACTTGAGGCGACTTCCGCCCTCTCGTATGGCGCGCATTGCCGCGCTTCGGAGGTAAAATCTTAGTCGACTTAAAAAAAACAGCCGCCAATATCGTCAACTTATCCTCTATATAGCCTGCTTCTAACGTAAAATTAACATATCGTTTACGTGTCGTAAAAATTTATGTGAATACACAGTTCATACGTTTGGTTAACTTCTTTGGTACACTATTTCTCTCGCTGATCACCATTAATCCTCACGTGTGTTCACGGTGTCTGAAGTCAAGCAATTTATGTATACGTACCTTTTGAAATAAACGTAAACTATGAGATAAGCGGGTATCCCGTATCATTATCATTTAATGAGCCGTGAAATGGTCGTTTATAATATTTAATGAGAAAAGTCAAGTATTTTTAGACCGTTCCATCGTCCAAATCGTCCTATTCAATTCTAAATCAATCACTTGTCAATATTAATGCGGATCTACAATAAGTATAGTAAGCTTTTAGCCTTCTGTTCTAAGCGATAAGATGTAACATCATTTCTAACAAAGGGCTTTTCCCGTGCTTCCAAAAGTCGTTTAACGCTTAAATTAAAACAAATCTGCAACGTTTGATAGCGTTGGAGGTTCTTCCTGGTAGAAATTAAGCTGCAATTTAATGCTTCGAGCGAAAGGCTACAGTTTTACTACTATATACTTATATAAGTATATAATAATATATCACATATAAATATATAAAAGTATATAATATACTTATTGCAGATCCAGTCTTAATCTTATATAAGACTGATAATGAAAGTTGAACATTTTGTTGGCAAATACGAAGTCTTCTTCGAAGACGTGCAGTTCGGCATCATTCGGAAGAAATCAAGCAAAGACTTGATTAATTGTAAATTACGTTCCCGTTAACAAGGCCACAATTGACCCGGATTGAACCTCCCGCGTAGAGGCGTGTCTACCACAGTCGCTGCAGATTCTGGTCCATGGGCACCTGTTCCATATAATTTACATACTGCATCTGGTAATTAGGCGGGCCGAGGTAACTCGAGAAGCTGTATTCGCCGTTCGAGACATCCATGGGCATTCGCCTATCGGTGACGAGCTGCTTGTTGTTGTCAGACGGAACACCCTTCAACTCTGGAAAGGGCACAGCCTCGTTGCCGCATGTCTTGTATTCTGTCTTGACCAGTCGATTGCAGTCGTGCACGCTCGACGATGCTTCCGTCGCGAAGTTGCCTCTGTACTCCGCGCCGAGGACGTGCTGCCTGTTATCCGATATATCGTTCAGACTCGACCTGCCGGCCATTTCCGAGTTCAGCTCTGACTTGTATTCCGGACTGATGCTGGAGTCGATGCGCATCTCGTTCGTCGTTGAGTTCGACCTGAAGTCGGGACTGAGGCGGATCTCGTTCGTCCTGAAGTCCGTCTGCATCGAAATGGCCAAGTCCGATGTTCCCCGGATGTTCGGCCAATAGGGGCCGTTGTAAGCCTCCTGCACGTTGGGTTTGCCGTCCTTGATGAGGATCGGCACGGCAATCTTCTTCAGGGGGTGGTTCTTCATGTTCTGCGCCTGCAGCTTCTCGGCATCCTCGATCCGGGCGCGTTTGTTCTTGTACCGGCGATTCTGGAACCAGATCTTCACCTGCGTGCTGGTCAGCTTCAGGCTCTGAGCCAGCATTTCCCTCTCGGGTGCGCTCAGGTATCTCTGCTGCTTGAATCGCTGCTCCAGCTCGTAAACCTGCGTCTGCAAACGATAACCTGGCGCTTTAAATACCTCAGAGGCGTTTTAAAGATGAATGATGTATACACCGGGGGAAAAAGCAGTCGGGCAAAATCGACGGTCATCCTCGTTCGGAAAAATATTGTGTCCGCTGAGCAAATTACGCGAGTAGAAATGTATCTAGTCGGCCTGAGTCCAAAGCGAGTAGCCGGTAGATAGATTAAATTTTCTAGCTCGTAATTGGCTGATTAATTCGAATGTAAAATCGATGATCTAGCCGTTGTCCAATCATTACATATTAAATATCATAGATAACGCTGTTTCTTCTAAAATATATAATGTAGCTACTACTATAGAATCATCATTAGCGTTAAAAGGGTGAATAAAAATTAAAGGAATGTTATTTGCACGTTTATAAAATTCGCAAATTAATAAAAACTTTAGAATAGCAGAAGCGAGCGCTACTTTACTGCCTAGCAATTATGATTTTTTATCTCGTAACTGTAATTCTCTTTTTCGTTTAACCATCTGACATTTATACATATATAGCTTTTATCTAATCACTAGAAGAAGTGAGTGTTATATTATTGGATAATAGCGACGTTAGATACAAATTTGTTATCTTGTAGAAGATACCCACGAAATTCAATTTCTATTAAAAATCATATGCGCATTAGTGCAACAATACATTGCATTGTTATAGTTATAGTTGCTGGTCAAGTCGCAATCGTTAGATCAATTGATAATCCATTGCGACAACTGTATAATTCGTTCAATGAACTAAAGGACAAGCTTGAGAAAATTTTGTTCGTTCAAGCAAAATTTCGTTGGTTCAACAACTTTTTCTCTCATGTAAGTGCGAATTAATATTTTAAATATTATTTTCGAAGAACCCTATGATTAAGATTCAGATTATATACACCTTAAAGGTATACTTTTAAGTACGGTTCTTTACGATATAAAAATAATTGAACTTACTTGCGAAAACAACACTCTGGGCTTCCGTTTTGTCTTTTTGCTAGATTGGCTTTTGCGCAGCTCCGTCTTGCTGGATGTAACGATGTTACCTAAAAATAGTTAGCGGAGTAATTCTCTCTCATCAATAGAAAGGGTCGTAACTCGGAATTACAAAATATTTCAGAGGTAATTGCGGGTGTTACATTTTGACAGAGAAAGTTTTGAACGGCGTAAAATATATTGCCTATTCGCTTCCCTGAAAATCAATGTTGTTTCGCCCAACTTATTTCCTTCGACAGCGATCGTTTCTTACAAATTACGCGGTCGCGTTCGAGAGAGATGTGTTCCGCTGCAACAATTCGCAAGAAGAAGAACAACAGAGCGTTTCTCGTATTGCGATTATTTCGATCTGATTGAAACAACTTGCAAAATTTGACGCAGTTCTGCATAGTGTGAGATCATTATTCATTAATTGCACACGGTCACAAAAAGTGACTCTCGATTCCGGAGAAAATTAATAAGATAACTTGTACCTACCGTCCTCCGTGAGAGAAGTCTCCTGGTAAGGCGGCACCACCTGACTCAGCTGATGAACGTGATTGAGATCCGAGTAATGCTGGTAGCTGGGCATCGACTGATCCTTAAATTTGTCAATTTCCCAATTGTTTTCAGGCATCACGTTGTACGGGAAGTAATCCTGATGCTGTTGCTGAGCCTGATTCTGGTGGTGCGGGTAACAATCCATGACGCCGAGCTGCTGATCTTCGTTGAGGATGTCGCGAACGCTGAACGGAGTCGATATCGAGGAGGACAACATCCTAGAGCATTCTTCTCGGTCTTCGATCGAGTCTCTCGCGACGTTTCGAACGTACACCACGTGAATATTTGATCAACCCTCGACGATCAGTACACTCTTTCCGGCACTTCTTCTCAAGAGGGTGTCATCTCCTTAATTTTCAACCAAATCCGATGACGAGAATGCCGAGCATTCGCTTTCACTTCGTACAATTTGGAGACTCTTTCGTTATCGTTATAAATCTTGATTCGACCGATTAAAAGTCTCGATCGTCGGTCCTCAAGATTTAACCAACGTCATAAATGTCCAACGAATTACGAATAATTCGAGCTTGTCCGCGAAAATTGTTGACTGTAGTCTCGACGAGTCGAACTCGACGAGACGAGTTGGAAAAATAAATAAATAAATGTATGACCCTCGCGATGCAATCAATATATAAACAAAAGTCGGAGGAAATAAGAGCTTTAATCTAATTTCGTTGGGACCAGCCCGAAGCGGTATCCCCCGGAACGTTCGGCAAATTTCATTTAATTTAATTTAACACATCGACATGTTTAACTTGCTATAAGCTTTAAAGCAAAAAAACAACCGTTTGTATTAATCAATGTAGCTCCTTATACATTGGTGTCAGATACATCAGTTCAAAAGAGCCGCGGAATCCGCGCGGGAACAGCTCGACAGTCGGCTGTTAAAACGCAAATATCCGACAGCAAAGAGAGACTTGTAAGTTCACCAAGTCTCAACTCAGTTCACTCGCGATGTTGTTAATCAGCCGAAACTCGGTAACGACGCACAACGGAAAATATCACATCACTAGCGAGCGAGTCGAAGCGAGATACGTGCGAATAATATTGCAAACCGTTAAAATCCACGAGATCACGGCGCACGATCGTTTATCGATGTTACCGACGATTCTCGTTTCGGGGGATGGTCACGGTTGAGTGATCGGGTCGGAGGGCAGACGTATAATGTGACTTGGTCTTGCAAGGGAGTCAAGTGTTGGTCCCGTCGCACGCAGGAACGTCACGGCGATACGCGAGCGTGAGGGTGAGTTGGTGTGCGCGGCCGAAGATTTTTACTACCACAGACGCGCGGTGACTTCAAGCTTCGCGATTTTCACGGCATACACGGGGAAGATATGTGATACTAATTAATTTATAATTATCCCGACACACCGAAGTGATGCATATTCGAAGAATCGGAATTATTTGTCGGGCGATTAATTTTAAACGCTCGAATATCCCGTGCAGTTTCTTCTCGTGCTTCCCGTAAATAATAAAAACCGACATGCAGGTTCTCTGTATTGTTATTCACTTGTTTTTATGTGAACATTTCAGAACAAACAACGTGCGCTAATTTAAAATTCGTCTCTGTTATTGGGATATACAGGATGTCCCGAGACCGCTTGAGAATTGCACCGGGAGATTTTTAGCGGCAAACGAAGCAACTTTTTGTTTACCAAGATTCCATTCGAACGATAGGTTTTAAATAAGAGCCATCGTTGTGGCTTAATAATAATTATTACATAATTGTCATAAATTAATTAATATTTATATAAATTACTATTGAAGACTAAGATATATTTTTAATGATCACAAAGTTATTCAAGAGTGAGAGATGTAAGGAAGTGCTGTTTAAAAAATTTTTTTAATATCCCCGGACAGATACCGGATGTAAACCGGAGAAATCTCACACGTTACTTTGCACATGAGATCCTAAAACATCGTAAATCGAGGTCAATCATGAATCAATTAGTCGAATAACGTTTGAATGACCTGCTGAAGAACTTTCTACCCATGGTTCAGGCTGACAGGAATCTAATAAAAAAAAAAAAACACGGAGCAATGACTTGGACGTATAATAATGATCGATATCGAAAGTGGCCGAATATGATCAAGAAGACAGCAAAATAACTTTTTGCGTCGCGACAGCCATAACAGCCGGCAACGTAAGGCGGAGGAGAATACGAAGGACCCGCCTATGTGAGAAGAACCCGACCAATCCAGACATGCTGCGAGTCGAGTTCTAAAAGTAACGATTAAACGATCATTTGCGCAATACGTCCCCTCTTTCGTCCTCTTCCGCTTAATGATCGCCGTTCTTCCTGGCTGCAACACGTAGTGGTGTTAACTCGCACACTTACATCCTCTGACGATCATACATGATCTTGAAATGCAACAGGATTCACTGCTACAATGAAACTATGAGAGAGTTGAGGTAATAACTCTCTCTACCCTGCAGGCGTTTCGCGAATGAATAATTGGAGAAAGACGTAAATCACGAGAGAAGTGTGATCATATTATTTACTCCAATTCCTAATTTTGCTTATTACACCACATCTGAAACGAATATAAAATTTTCTGAAATTAGCCCATCAAGTTAACACGTATTGAGAGAAATCGTAAAATTATAATTATCTTCGGTCTCAACTATACCATTTCCTGATTTTAACCGGAGAAATTGTTATAGCAATATGCATGTAAAGTTACTATCACTGACACTATAACACTTGTTGGAAAAATGACGTTTCTCACTATAACTCCTTCGCTCTCACTACGCGATTACAATTACAAATATTACAATTTTTCTTCTCAGTGCATAAGTCACGGGTCTCATATTACGTAACATCGCTTTGTACGAATCTTTCAGATTGCGATATGTGAATTAGAAAGATACCTTGATTAATAATCAGGCAAGATAATGTCTTAATAATACTCCCCTCCCTCCCCAGCGTATGCAAAATGTAGAAACAAATGTTGGTTATTTGAAAGGCGGGGAAGTTTATTCCCCTTGGAACCTCACCGTCGGCAATCGTCAGCTCCGGACAGCGAAAAAGACTTAAATCAACACGATTCCTACCCGGAGAGGAAAATGTGAAACCGCTGGCCGTCTAGACATCCAGATACACGCAATTGTCTGGACCACTCGTGAGAAAACGACAAAAGTCTCGTCCGATGCGTCTGAGCGCAGAAACGCAGAGTCGGGCTGACCTCTTCACAAACATAGGAAAGGCAGCGTCCTCGTCTGCAGCTCCGCAAGTCTGCAAGTTCAAATGCGCACGCCGTGTTCATTCATTCGCTAACATATCGAACACTCTAACATCATTTCGATACAACACGTCGGTTCTTATAAATCTTTATCGTTAACGAATGGTCGGATATGCCAGAAGAGGCAACCTGAGTCGAGATTTTAATACTACTTTGACACCCTTAGGGACAGTTTGCCCCTACTTAAATGGTTCTTAGAGTAATAAAAACTTACTTTGACGATACTGACATTTATTAATTTTTCTCTCGGATCTCCTTAATTTTAACAGTACCTTGTGAAACGGTCTGTTTCGAAAACAGCGAAAACGGAAATTTACGGCATCATATTAAGAGTCCAAGTAGACGTAAATTATATCATTAGAACTGAACTCACTTTGTTGTCTTCGTTCTCACTGTATTGTTTATAATTAAAGGTTTAACACAGGGCACAAATTTCGAGTGCGTTTCTCCGGCGAAAAGATCAGGGATTATTTCTGCAAGCTTATCTTTAGGCAGAGTGAAATAAAAAAAAATCACTTAATTATCAACATCGATCAATTATTTCATTGATCGATAATCCCGTTCACGAGGCGATATACACCCGAAGCGTAAGAAAATATGATTATGTACCATCAGAGACACAGGACTCGGTTTTGCCGTGGAGCAGATCGAAAGTCACATTAGCTCCTTCCTTCCACCTGTGAGATTTCTTTCCGGCCCATTACGGTTTCCGTTTACGCTGCTGCGCCCGCCGACGTCTATTGTCTCTATTGATACGTGACAGCGGTCGATGCCGACAAGAGAAAGAGCAGTTTCCGAAAACACGGACGGGCTCGCCATGGGCGGCACACCGACCCCCCACGAATACGAGGCAGGATACACGCCACTGTGCGAGATTTTTCTGTAAACTGTACACGGGATAGGGCGTCCGATGCTGCACGCGGTTATTTAGACGCGAGAAGACAGCACAAAGGGCCCTTTTATACGGCAACACGAACCCGCCCGCCTTGCAATCGGACACCACATTGTGCTCGGAGATCTCTTCCCGTGACCTCGACTTAGCGCACGGCGCAATAAAAGTGCATCGATTTCGCTGCGTCTCACTTAACGCTCGGACACCTGACGGATTGATTGCGATATCGATTCAGATATCGATGCGAATCAACCCTTTGTCGGCCCGATTCTACGCATGTACTTGCTGTGTCGCCAAACTGCGACGGGTTTCGGGATTTGCTTGTGACTGAACAGTGTTAACAAAGATCAATCAATTTCCTAAACTGTATCTTTATAAATATATCGACTCCGTCCAAAATTGGGTCCAATTTTGAAGTCTAGTGTGACTTGATCGCGTTTAGTGGAAACAGATTATTCCTCAATCAAGTAATCGCGAAAGTCTCATCTTCACAACAGTTTGTAGTACGTAAACGTGATCAATATTGTTGTCTTTATTACATACGTATGAAAAATTTAAACATTTATTGACAAATAAATCGATTTTGTTGACTGACTTAATGAACGACTTGTCGAGTCAGATGAATCGTTCTCTGCTGGAATAAATTGGTCAATTACGTAAATTAAAGTTTCAAGTTCTAATAAATTTCAAGCTTCTACCGTCGTCTGAAAGAACGGGAATGATACCCATCAAGAGTAAAGCCGTGAGAAATGTAAATCAAAAATTGATAATTCACAATTAGTCATCATGTCAAACTGGCGATACGAAGAGACGTACGCGTGTGTGTGCGCGCGCGTGCGCTACGAGAGCTTTAAATATCCGCGAACACTTGTCACGCATCTTACAGAGAAACAACGTTATCTATTGGTATACTAAAAACAAGCGAAAGTTACTTAAAAAATCCGTGAGCACGGCGCCGCGGCAGGACTGTCCAGACGCCGGCGCTTCTTTCCCACAGTTAAGAAGGCGCCCGGCCGCCTTTGCTATCTTTTGGCGCCTACCACGCACGAAACTCAGCGTGTGTCCAAGCACGCGCCTCGCTT